GATTTTCGATGTGGCTTTATCTTTTGGTGTTCTTGTGTCATACTACATAGGGATGCTTGAACTTCTTGAAAGAATGGATATGGTGAAGTCAAGGTTGCTGTGTTGTGAAGTTTGGCATAGCTCTTTGCAACGATGATGTTTAGCAATCTCTTTTGGGCGGTGTTAGTTTTCCCCATAGGTGTATGTTGTGACTTTGAGGCTTAGGCTTTGGTCCTTTGCAAGAAGTTGGAGCTAAAAATCTTGGCATAGCACACCCTGATGCGACAAGTGTGGATGGAAGAAGGCTACCCTTAAGGGTTCGCCAATGTGACCGAAGCCCATGGTAGCAATGTTCGTGGGTGCCACACTCCCTATTTTTGAGTTATTGAGGTGCCCTCCCTTCCACTCTGCAGGATTCTTTGTGTGAAAGTCCTATCCATATTCCCTAGATGAGCGACGGTGATGCTCACGATGCTGCATCGTTATCGGAGGTCTTTTTCACCGACCGCCTCTTGGCACTCTTCATGATTTTTGGTGAGCTTTTGGTGTCGTTGTGTCATCATACTACATAAGGATGCTTGACTTTCTTGAAAGAATGGATATGGTGAAGTCGAGGATGTTGTGTTGTGGAGTTTGGCATAGCTCTTTGCTATGATGATGTTTAGCAAACTCTTTTGAGGCGGTGTTAGTTTTCCATATTGGTATATCTTGTGACTTTGAAGGCTTAGGTTTTGGTCCTTTGCAAGAAGTCAGAGCTAAAATCTTGGCATAGTACACCTTGATGCGGCAAGTGTGGATGGAAGGCTAAGGGCTTAAGGCTTGGCAGGTGTGACCGAAGCCAATGGTAGCGGTGTTCATGGGTATCGCACTCCCTATTCATTGTGTTATTGAGGTGCCCTCCCTTCCACTTTGTAGGATTCTTCAATGAAAGTCCTATCCATATTCCCTAGACAAGCGACGGCAATGCTCCCGATTCGCTGTACCAGTTTTGGAGATCTTGTTCACCGACCGCCTCATGGCACTCTTGCTAATTTTTGGTGAGGTTTTATCTTTTGGTCTTGTTGTGTCATACTACACAAGGATGCTTGACTTTCTTGAAAGAATAGATATGATAAAGTCGAGGTTGTTGTGTTGTGGAGTTTGGCATAGCTCTTTGTAGCGATGATGTTTATCAATCTCTTTTGGGCGGTGTTAGTTTTCCCTATAGGTGTATGTTGTGACTTTGAGGCAGTGAGCTAAAAATCTTGGCATAGCATGCCTTGATGCATCAAGTGTGGATGGAAGGCTAAGGGCTTAAGGCTTGGCTGGTGTGACCGAAGCCAATGATAGAGATGTTCATGGGCATCACACTCCCTATTCGGTGCGTTATTGAGGTGTCCTCCCTTCCACTTTGCAGGATTCTTCAGGTGAAAGTCCTATCCATATTCCCTTGATGAGTGACGACGACGCTCCCGATGTTGCATCGGTTTTGGAGGTCTTGTTCACCAACCGCCTCTTGGCACTCTTGCTGATTTTCGGTGAGGCTTTATCTTTTGGTGGTGGTGTTGCACAGGGATGCTTGACTTTCTTGTAATTAAGAATGGATATAGTGTCGAAAAAAAGAATGGATATGGTGAAGTTGAGGTTGTTGTGTTGTAGAGTTTGGCCTTGCTCTTTGCAACTATGATATTTAGCAATCTCTTTTGGGCAGTGTTAGTCACTACGCCAGATTGTATTTGTAGGGGTGGCTCTAGATGGTCTGTAGCATCGGTTTTGACACCCGCCCCTATCAAACCGTGACTATAAATTACCGATTTATAGGGCGGTTGGCCAGCCACTCCTACAAATCAATTTTGTAGATGCGGCTGGATATTGAGCTGCCCTACAAATCAATTTCTAGAAATCACAAAAAAGGAGCAAAAAATAGTAATTTTTTTAATCCGAGGAGGTCCCCAACGGCAGCCACACACCTACTCTATGGTTGCAGCATTTTTTTCACGATTTTTGCACACTTTGCGTCCGCCGGGATTCGAACCCGTAATTTCTCCCTCACCGGCAAACTCCTCTACCACTACACCTCACGATCACTTATGTCTATATTTCATTTTAGTTCCCCACATATTATACAAAACTGAGCATAAATTGATTGTTTGATGCTCTAAACTAATTCAAATGAAAAAGTTGTCAACTATAAAGTTTTATAACTTTTCGAGATCTACAACTTTCATTTTGGTAGTTCTCCATCCGAGGTCACTTATAAAATTTGAATTTCAAATTTGAGAAATTCGAACGTGGTTTCCCATGACAAGATGATTTCAAATGAGAAAGTTATCAACTACAAAGTTTCATAACTTTTCAAGATCTACAACTTTTATTTTTACTGTTTGTCCATCTAAGGTTGTTTAAAAAATTAAAATTTTAAATTTTTAGAAATTCAAACGTAGTTTTCCTTGACAAGATGATTTCAAATTAAAAAGTTGTCAACTATAAAGTTTCATAACTTTTCGAGATCTACAACTTTCATTTTGGTTGTTTCTCCATCCAATGTCGTTTACAAAATTTGAATTTTAGTGCTTAATTTTTAATACTCGGCATCTATTTGTTGGGGCAATTCAATATTGAGTCGCCCCTACAAATCCGATTTTTAGGAGCGACTGGATATAGAGCCGCCCCTATAAATTGGGTTATTTGTAGGGGCGGCTGATAACACCGGCCGCCCCTACAAATCCATTTGTAAGAGTGGCTCATTTAGCAACTATTTGTAGGGGCGGCTCAATATAGAACCGCCTCTATAAAGAAAGAGATACGTTGTCATAAATCGTTTGTATAGTAGTGAGTTTTCCTTACAGGTGTATGTTGTGACTTTGAGGCTTAGGCATTGGTCTTTCGCAAGAGGTCAAAGCTGCTCGGCTATGTTTTGGAGCTCCGCAAGGATGACCTGTGGCACGCTGCGTTGTTTTGGGCTGGATTTCGGCTGTACTTTTGATGTTAGGGGTTTTTTTTGTTGGTTATTCTTTAATTAACCATACAAATGTAACGTTTGTAGGTCTGTTTTTTTAAACTGAATCAACTCTTTTCTACTCTAATTAAAAGACAGCTCCTATCAGTGTGTTCGAAAAAAAAAACACATGGTTAGCATGGAAATCCACCGAGCTATCAAATGATCTGCAAGGATCTACAGCTCTTGTACTGCTCTCCAGAGACCCAGTATTGGTGATAAACTGATAGGGACGGCATGACGGTGAATGGCTCATCTGTCCGATGTGCCCGTGGATCACCTTTTCTCAGTGCCCGTCCTAGTCATCTCTTGAATAAATCTTTATTCGCAATGCCTGCGGCCGTCAGGGACTCACGTCTGATTGACAGGTGTCCCAACTACTCCTGATGTATCCGTTTAATTTGTTGCAGCAAAAGCCTTGATCAGTCAGCCAGGCAAACATTTTCTTGGCCCTCCACGGCCACTATGTCGCTTGAAATATCTCTAGTTGGCGTCATAAGCGCAGTTACATGTCCAGATACAAAATCTAGTTGAAAATTGTGGGACTATGTTTTTTTTTTGGGTGCACCAAATTGATTCCAGTGGAGTGCATGCTTATGTTCTACCGAAAATAAATACCTAAAAACGTCCATATCTTTCAAGATAAAGATACTTTTTGGCAAATTTGCAACTGGACAATATTTAATGTCGGAATTGTTTGTTGGGCAATCTTCATAATGGTACTCCCTACATTCCAAAAGAATGTTGTTATACTAGTTTTTTTTTTCTAACTTCAGGTATCTTAGATTTGACTAAGTTTTATAGAAAAAATACCAATATTGCTATTACTAAATAAGTGTAATTAGTGACTATGTACCTGTCGTTTTATGACATACTCCTTCCATTTAAAATTATAAAGCGATTTGGCTTTTCCATACGTAACTTTTGCTATATACTGTTGGATATACTCTATGTCTAGATTTATAGTACAAGTAATGTATCTAGAAAAGTCAAAACGTCTTGTAATTTAGAACGAAGAAAGTAATAGATAGAATATCATCCATTAGCAAAAAAAAAAGGAAATACATGTGTAGTCTATAAAATACCTTACGTCAGTAGACGATTCCAATACAAAAAGGTGTCTAGTACTAAATTAATTTACCAAAAAAAACATTACTAGACCCCAATAATGTTATCATGTTCAAACCCCCATTTGCATTGCTTAACTACTCTTCTTTTCTTTTACAAAAGTAGCTTCCTTATAGCTTGTTTGGATACTTAACTACTAGGGTGGTTAAAATTAACCCTGGCTCATCTAAACAGAGATCCAAGTCTAACTGGTTGTTAACCAACTCTAACTATTTTTGGTTAATTTGTAGTCCAAGTAGTAGCTACCTTAACTGATCTAAATATGGCCTTATTCCCACGTAAGTTATGGACTTATATGGTAGGGTACACTGGTCGATCACCAGCTAATTTTAATCGATGCTGAAATGAACAAGTCCTGTCTGCATCTCCTAGTTGCACATAAAGTTTGGCACACGGCATTCGATCCCTTAACTGTCACCCTTGAGGGCCTCTATCCACGAAACAGGAATTTTGCAGGGACCCATAGTTCTGACTTGTGCTCTGTAGCATAGCATCTGTTGAGCCACGAGGTCGCCCGTGTAGCGGTGCGTGACGGTGAGGCGCTTATAAAAGGCGAAAGAGAGGAATATGGCCGTCGTGGCCACATACGACTGGCTCACCTCCAAGAAACCTATAGTACCCGCGTACATACATAGTACTCCGTATGATCTAGGACTTGGACGTACGACAACTACGAATGTGCTGTATCTTCCAATGACGGAAACAGAGAAACATTTTCCTAGCTAGCCTTAATTAGCACGTACGAGCTCGACGTTTCGATCAATTAACTTGTGCTTAATTAGAGCAGAAATCAAAGGCCGCGCCGCTACTTAAGGAAATTAATTAATCGCCGGTAACAGTTTCTCGTTTAATTTTTTTTAGCAAGAAGAATATAGGGGCTCACGAGGGATGATCGATGGTTGTTTGCTGTACGTACCCGGCCGAAGCGGAAGTGCTCGGCGGCGACGGCTAGCGGCACGGCGGAGAAGAGCGGGAACAGCTTCGTGCCCAGAAACACCTCCTGCAACTCCGCCGCCGCGCGCCGCACGCCCTGCCGCACCGGCGAGCGCGTCGGCGTCATCTCGTGCTCCGCCAGACGCCCCGACGACGTTGACGTCGCCGTCGTCTCCACGGCAGGCGTCTCCTCGTCCTTGGAGGCGGCCAGCAGCCCGGTCCCTAGGAGGTCGCCTGCTGCACCGACGTCGCCGCTATTGGGAGACGCCATGATGCCCCCCAACAATCTCGGTAACAGACCGAATTAAACGACGCGCTCGATCAGCACTTCCGCAGTTCCGCTGATAAATCTATACGGGCCAAACGTGGAGTGGCGAAGGAGGCCTGAGTAGCTGTGATGGGCTGCACGGAGGCACGGAGCACATATATATGGCTGAAAGCAGCTGAGATCTTTTTTCTGGTTATTAATAAATCGTGAGAAAAATAGCTACGCAGTAATATAACTATACAACAGTCCTATAAAAAATTATAACTATAAATAAAAGGTAAAAGTATATTAATTTAATTAATAATGACTAAATTTAACAGGCGTTTTTTAACCTTTTTCCGAGTTTTTATTCTGATCCTAGTATTTGAAAATTACGTACTCAGCTCTCTAAATTTGTCACTACCTCTCATCCCTATTTCACAGGCGTTCTTAAACCCTTATTCGAGTTCTTATTCAAGTCCCAGTATATATTTAAAAACTACACTCAGCTCTCTAAATTTATCCTTAATTTTCATCCCTAAATTATAAATTATATACTCCGCTCCCTAAACTTGTTTTAAGTTTTCACCCTTAACACTTGCAAATTGTACATTTAACTCTCTAAACTTATATTATTGTACCATCTTGGTCCACCCCTCCACTCTACGTTTTGTCATCCTCATCCCACCACGTTGCATGTGCTTGGCTCACCTAGGTGGTTGTGCCACAGCTGTGCGCCTACCTGCTCTGCGTTGCCATACCCATGATGTTATGCCAGGCTCTACCACGCTCGCTTGCTCCTCGCACGCCATGACATGTGAACCAAGCTTTCTCAACACCAAGTGGTTGACCAGAACCCATGGTTGTGATCGTCCAATCCATGCTCTTGCTCGACTTCCTCCTCCTCAACACCTCACCATGACACCGATGCCGACCCATGCCCCGTGGCATTCACACTTGACACCAACACTGCCACACTCCTTCCTCCCCCTGTTGCGCAAGCTCTCATGTTCACCATTCCTCATACACACTCCCTACCTTCTTGGCGCCCTTCCTCAACTCATGGCGTGACTCACCATTTCCTTATACACACTCCCTAACCTCTTGGCGTCATTCCTCAACTCATGCCGTGACGAGCTCATTGTAACAACCCGGGTTTTCGTGCATCCAAAAATACAAACTTTTTAAAGAATTTCCTGCAATGTATGAACCGTGGTATCAACTGAATAATGATAATGTGATAGCTTGGTCCTCCTGAACTGTCACATTCTGATGTAATCTGTGGATATTTCTTCAAGAAAATCATGGATCGTTTCAGTTGGTATCAGAGCCATACTTGACCCTAGGACGAGACCCTTAGGACCAAACACTAGTATAGAAGCCAACCATCCTATTTGTTGTAGAACTATAGGTGCTAACACTTGTTTCTCTCCCCGCCTTGAGTTCTACTGCTAATTTACCTCCGGTTATGAAATATTCCCTATAGGTCAATTCAATATTTCCCTTTACCGCCCATGCTAGATCGGTTGTTGTGTGAGACTTTGAAGGCCTAGGAGTCACTTTAAGTCAACACTATGCATATAGGAGTTGTAATATTGTTTGATTGACTGGATCTTGAGTTGTTATGCTTCTTGTGCTTCTGTATGTTTTAGTGTAGGCTATAGAAGCTATTTTGTGTTCTTTATGTGAGGCTCCAAATCTTAGTTATCTAAGTCAGCTAACCTAAGCCATCCTATGACTAGATAAGTAGCCCGGACTAATTGGAGTTGAGAATATAAAACTGATGCATCATTTCTTTACCAAACCATTTCAAAACTGTTTTTGGCTTCCAACTAAACCGCATTTTTAAAATCACCCTCCATTATTTTGGTTGAAAAAAAAAATCCTTTCTCAAACAAGAACAAATTTATGTAAAAAACAAAACATTTTGAAAGATCTTCCTTTTTCAAAAGAAAGCAGTTTTAGTTCCTTTCTCAACCAGATTTGATTTCAAAAGTTATCTGTGAAATAGTTTGAAAATCCAGTCTCCTTTCAAAAGGTGTTACAAATTCACTTCCGAAAAACATAAGTTTTACTTTTCATCTCCCACCTTGAACAAAATGTTTTCAAACCAAAGATCTTTTGTTGATTTTGTTTTAAATGCTTTTTATTTCACGCCGAGAGCCAAAACCCTTTCAAAAGTCAACTTTGCCTTCAAAATTGTTTGCAACCGATTTACCAAACAAATTTTTTGCGAAAAGATTTTGTTGGCAAAAATGAAAATGTGTTTCCAAAAATCTAGTTTCAAAAGTGTTGTTTTGGAAAAAGGGTTTTCTAAAAACCAATTTTGATTGCGAAAGCTTTACCTTTCAAATAAGAAATGATTTCAAATCATTTTCAAAACTAGTTTTGTTTGATTCAAACAAATGGGAAGCAACACTTTGTTTCAAAAACCAAACCGAGTTTTCAAAAATCATTTGATTTGAAACCATTCAAAAAAGAAAGTGTTTTGTTTTAGGAAACAAGGACTTTCAAAAGATTTGGTTTTCAAAACTTGCATGGATTTCAACCTGTTTTAAAAAGGCACCTTTTATTTCAAAAGTCCGACCTACCCTGGAATTCAAAAGTTTTGTAAATCACTCCTTCACTATTCAAGCAGGATTTTGAAAACTACTTGTCTTGAAAAGTTTTGGTATTTGCAAAACATTTTCATCAAAATGGTTTCAAACTCCGCATACCCACTATTTCGAAACATCTTTTGTCCAAAATGCCTATTTCAAAAAGTTTATAAAATGGTTTGAATTCTAAAACTCCCCTTCAAGAGGCCTAAATGTTCTTGAAAATCGTTTCAAAAGATGTTTGGAAAGCAAAAAAACTTCTATAAAAGTCTTGATTTTATGAACTAAAACCTATTTAAAGCATTTTCAAAATCTCTTTTGTGGGTTTGTTCTAGTTTGACCAAAAATCAAAACCAATGATTTGAGTTTCAAAAACCAAAGCGGGTTACAACCTATTTCAAACATCTTCGTGTTGATTTCGAAAATCCATAGGTTGTAACCTTCTTCCTTGCAAGATTTGCAAAGCAATAAATTTAGAACTGTGTCTTAAAAAAGAAGACTTCCAAAACCGTTTATCCTCGCCTTTTTCAAAAAAAAAATCCCCTCTCCCTTTAGCTTGGGATATCGAGTTGTTGCCAGTGACTTATTTGGTAGGGTGTTGTGATCACAACCCACGGTGCCACGACAAAACTTGGGGCCCCGTGTGTGATGCATCCACATGGCTTGTTGCCGGGCATACGTTGGTATCAAGGTACGTGACTGTGACCGCTCCAAGTGGTACTCGCATACTACTGTAATCCTAAGCTTAGCTTTTCAAAATCTCACTACAAAAACAACCGTTTGAAAAGAGTTTTACTTAAAACAATGGATGTTTTGATTTTGAAGATCCCCATTCAAATACCCTATTTTGTTCTGACAAAGAAATTTCAAAATCCAATGATTTGCCAAAACAAACTCTTGTTTGGAGTAAAAACAACTTTAAAAAAGGGGGGATTTTGAAAAAATTTCTTCCCCTAACTTTCTCACTATCAAAACTCTCGGTCTATGTCAAATGTTTTGAAAAACCTTGCTCCTATTTCAAAATGCCATGCAAAAAGATGCTTCAAACCCTTGTTTGTGTCGTTGAAAAATTTGAGAAAAGTTCTTTTCTTTCAAATAGCATTTTCCCAAAAGAAAAAGAAGGATTTATGAAAACCAATTTTCAAAGTTTCTTCTAAATTCCTTGCAAATTGATAAAAGTTTTTGGTTTTGAATAATTTCAAAAACCGACTTCAAAAGGGACTTTGTTTTCAAATGAAAACTATTTCAAGTTGCTTTCCTATCTTGCAAAAAGGGATTTCGTATCAAAATAAAAACTACTTCCAAAATTGTCTTTTGTTCCAAAAATCTTTGTTCAAAGAAAGAGAGTTTTCCCAAATGACATTTGAACTCGCTTTACAGAAATTTTGGTGCATGAAAATGTTTTCAACTGGTGTTTAAATTTGCTTTCCAAAAACCTTGGATTACAAAAACAAAATGATTTCAAAATAAATTTTGAACTCGGTTCGCATGAGTTTCAAAAGCTCTTTTGAGAAATGACCCCTCTTCAAAAACCAATTTGATCTTGCAAAAATTATTTTCACCCAGTTAAAATGCAAATGACTTTCTACATTCAAAAGGGTTTTATGCAAACTACTTTCCAAAAAGCTCTTCTTTTAAAATCTTTCTCGAAAAAGATCCTTTGTAAAACTTGATGCATGAATGCATGTAGGACATTTAGTAAAAGCCATCAACCTTAGATAAACCCATATAGCCATCCTTCAAGAGTAGTAACCCCTAAATCTCGATGACGAGATTCCTGTAAGGGGGTGGACTATAACAACCAGGGTTTCATGCATCCAAAAGTACGAACTTTTTAAAAAATTTCCTACAATGTATGAATTATGGTATCAACTGAATAATGATAATGTGATAGATTGATCCTTGTTGACGGTAGTTAATATTCATCATAAACCGTCAATATAACTTCCATAAATGGCTAAAATGGATCACCACTGTAGACTTAGGGGTTTAAACTGACAAATTCCATAAGTTTTGGTGAATCTGTGTTGTTAGTAGGATTTAATTAGAAAACCATCAAGGATGACCTATTTGTCAAAGAAAATCACGGAATTCCGCCGCGTAAACAATGTGGGAAGACTCTAGAAGACTCTAGAAGGCAAATCACCGAAGCGGGGCCCGAGCCGCTGACAAGTGGGGCCGGCCGGCCCCACCTGCAGGCCGGCTAGCCTATGGGGTCCTCCTGGCAGTCCCTCGTCATTATGTCGGTTCTCCACCGCCTTAAGGATTGCATCTCCACCGTTTATTCAAGTCGGTTTAATCCAAGGGCTTAGGATTTATGCTCTGGCCTATATATACCTGCCAGCACACCCCTCTAGGGCATCCATGCATTTGATCCTCAGAGCCAGAGGGCCAGAAACCCTAATCTATATCTTCATCAGGATCAGA